CGCCGAGAAAAAACATCTTCAGATGTTAAACGGCTTGTTCAAAGAACTCGAAAAGCCGTATGAATAAGCACTCTGACGTCCGTACAGTAGTGTTCGATCTCTAGGCAACTTTCTAAAAAATATGTTTACGGCCCACACCGAGAATTTAGGGTCTCAAACTGTGGATCTCTTGTCATTGCAAATGCATAGGATTTGACTTTAAGTGCTCTGTACTCTTTCGAAAATTTACCTAATTCTTTGATGAACTTGTTTATGGTTGCACGAGATGAAGAAAACAAGGTTTTCGGAGTTGATCTAACCCATTTACGGGATGAGCCACGCATTCGACTCGCATTCAGAACAGTAGCGGTCTTGAATGCGTATGTGGCCTGTTAATGAATTGCGGCAGTCAGCTTATATACAAGTTTGCGCCTTGTCCTCTAAGTTAGGTCTGGTAGAAGTATGGAAGTGTAAGAGTTAAAAGTAATCAAGAGGCAAGGGGCAGATCGATGGTGACTCCTTCATTGCAGCTTTCTTTGCTACGATGATTCTGCTGATTGCAGGGGGTGACAAGCGAGAGGAGGAGGGCATAGAGCTGTATCTGAGGATACGACCAGCGAGCAGGACGGCTGCCTCATCCTGCTACGACTGCACATCGTTCCCTCCACCGACTTCTACGCAACGTCGCCAGTATCATATTCGCTACTACTATTATGATGTCATACTGTTATTGTGGAGTTGTTAATTCGGATAATTACATCGAAGTAGTGAAGTCGTCTTTCACGGGAGAGAATTGAAGGTAACCCACTCACCAATAACTGGTAGCAGCGAGTTGTTGTGTTAGAGTTCCGATCACAAGGCGAGTCAGAAAGAGGAGGAGATGATGAAGTAGAACTAGGAGAGCCAAAAAGCAATCCTTTGCCATCAATTATGTTAGGGTGAGATAGGACTGCCTCAAGTCCATAGTGGGAGAGGAGGGAGTCTAGGCCGAGTTGTACACTTAGTTGTGTCTCCATGTGGCACTGTTGACAAACAATGCGTTCAACAGAATTAACCTGTCGTTCGAGACAAGCCTTACAAAATGAGTGAAAGCAGACGAGGACTTTTGGTTCGCAGAACGGCTCCTGGCTTAGCGGACACTTCACCACCTGGTCGTTGATGGGCGGAGGTTGCCAGCCCGAACGAACCGCCCAACATGGGCTGTTTGGCGCACGGCGGGTTTTGGGATCTCCCCCACTCCGCAGTCGTCATCCTCGGCATGAGCTAGCTTGAGCCAACGACCAAAAAGGCCGGGGAGCACGCTCTACTCCGAGTAGAGCATCGAGACTTCGTGGTCCTTGCTTTAATAGCCGTCTTTTTCNGCCGCTGGACTGCTTGGGCTTATATGCAAAGCTGGGATCCTCCGTGGCGCCCCACCACTGCGGCTTGACGGCGGGCCAAATTGTGGCGCGCCTTGTGGAGTGAGATCCAGGAAACTCTTGTAAACTTTGTTGTTCGTAACGAAACAGATAATATTAGGGGTTGTAAACATGGAAAATAGAAAATATGGAGTGAAAATAACCTCCCAGTTCTGAGCTCAAACTCCAACTCCGAACCATAAATTTTACTGAAGGAAATCATACCATTTCTTAACGTAGACAAATGCTTCTCGAGTGGTATGAGAACATAAAATTGTAAGAAAATATTTCAACTCAAAAAAAAAAACGGCACACTTATGTAACAAACTGGTATTATTGTATGGGTCAATGAACGCTACTTTAAGATGGTAAACAGGACAAAAAGATCAAAGTAACGTATAAACTGGACGGCCGAAGTAAACACTTGTCACGTTTTATCAGTAACGTACGTCCCCAGCTCGGAATGAACCTATAGTGATGGAGAGATGGGTGGCGCGGCGCTCCATCGTCATTGACTGGTACAATGTATGCGTGAAACTTGGTTGCCATACCCCTTTTTGAGCCTTTCTCAAAAAGATCCCAGTGGTAAAGATTCTCATGGGGATCTCAGGGGTGAGAATTAGTGGTGTAATCTTTGGTGCTTACCAACCTCATTTATGGAATGCGATATGCATTCGACTTCCATTTAGAATCACAGAAGCGTTTTGTATGCGTGTGTGCCTATACAATGGCTTGCAATGGTCAGTCAATGTACTCACAGCTTTCATTCTCCCAGACGAGTTTGGTACCAAGTAACTAATCCAAGGGGGATGGAAGCTTAGTTGACCTCCGCAAGGGTGTCGATCCGGGGTTTGATCCCTGGGCCATGCGTGTGTTGGTTGTATTGTGCTACATGCCACTATACACGATTGAAACGTATGAGATTCGAATTGGGAAGGCACCAGAGTCAATAGCGGTGCATTGTTAAGGACGAATTTGAAGGACCTTCGCAAAGCACTCAAATAGAGCGCCCCGTCACAAATTCCTGCCGTCCTCAGTCTCTTCTGCGCGAGTACTATTTCTGTTCCAAATGAGCATCCCACAGATGTTCGCAAAGTATGACCGCAGCAATAAATGAAAAGTTTCCTGCACTAGCCATACTGGAACAGTAATATGTTGTATGCTTGGAGAGGTACTTGATCGAAAAAAGTCATCCGAAATGCTGCGTCTGTGGTTTTGCTCACGGAAGCGATTGCAAGTCATGCATTGTACGAGGAAAGTTTACCTGGACAGATTCCTTCTTCTGTCTTAGTTTATCGTCGACGGAATATCCGTAGCGTTTGACTCTCATTTTGCCTAAAAAGTTAAGGCACTCCTTCAAGCGCACATTTTGCGATTACATGATAAATGTTTTATAAGTGAAAGGAATGAAAGTGTGAACATAGTATAATGCCCAATGGCTGATTCACATACATTTATACAATACCAATAATCCCGCGCGATTCACAAGACCGTTTGGCGCGCTATCCAGTGGGCGCACTTGAGGGTAGTGGGCGTGTTAAACTACTTCTACCCCTCATTGCAGCCTTTATAAACCATGACTGGACGGAAAAACACCAAGTAGGGCCTTCTGAGGTGACAAATTAAA